AACTATATATTAATTATAATAGGAATCATTTCACTTTTGTTCAAAAATTCAGTGTTTATAGTAAGCCTTAAGCCTTACCGATACTATCTTGCGGTCAAGTTATTCGAAACATGTGGTCTAGTTTATCCTCACTTGACTATACCTTTGTCTTTTTGCTTTATTTCTCCGCTTTGTAACCAAAAAATAAACAAATAAAATTCAGTCACTGTGATTAACATTATTATAAATTGTTCCTGAAAAAACGTTACTAAAGTGAGAAAAAAAAAAAAAGAATATGTTTGACCAGATAACGTGGCAGGATGATTTTTTTTTTTTTTTTTTCCTTTTTTTTTTTTTTTTTTTTTTGCCTTTTTTTTTGGTACAAAAAGAAGAAGACATAAAGAACTGATTACTACTTCTCTTAGAGAAAGTTATAATAGTTCTATTATGATATCATTAGTAAAATTTCACTTTATTTGGGAAGGAGAGGAAAGAAAATAATAGAAAAAAATAATGAAGGATTGAAATTATTTTCTTTTCTTAGTTATTTTTTACTCTTTGTTTGGACGAAGAGGAGGAAACAAAATTATTATAGTTAATTTATAAATTTGCCCTTATTATAAGACAAATATCACTATTTCTTATGGAAAGCATGGCCCAGGAAAAATTTAATTAAAATTTTTAATTTCTTCCTCTCAGACTTTATTCAAGGTTCCTAAACATGAGTATTTTCCTTCCTCTCAGAAAATCCTCCCTTCCCAAACAGAGTGTTAGAAAACGAACAGAAGCAGGAAGTAAAGCTTCACCAGTAAGTTAGCAGATTATCACTTTGCACATAAACTTTAGAGAAAACCTTTTTATCGTAAACAAAAAGCAATTTGTTTTTTTTTTTTTTTTCTTTTCAACTGCCTATATAAGAACCTAATACCCACATTTGAAGAACACACAAAAAGCAGTTTCTCAACCGTAAAAACAGAAAAGAAAACATGACTTGCCAAAAGAATATAGACAGAAGGTGCCTAAAGCCTGTGCCTATTTTCATGCCAGTAGGGCCAAGTGAAGAGCAAATAGAAAGTTGCTTCCGGCGTTTTGACACCAACGGAGATGGCTATCTTAGCATTCAAGAGCTCAAGAACGCCTACAAAGCCCTAGGCAGGTCTTTCCCGCTCTGTCGAGCTTTGCGTGCGCTCTACATTGCTGATGAAAATCGAGACGGATACATTAGCAAGAAAGAGTTTCACAGATTATTCAGAACTGCTTATATATAAATAACAGAGGTTGCCGTGGCAACTAGAAGTGTTTGTAGTTTCTCTTTTTCTTTTTTAGCGAAAATGAAATCCATCTATGATTATTGTTCAAGTAATCAGCACCAGTGTGTTTGTAAATTGGATCTCCTGACACCGTTTTAGCGTGTATGTATGATCCTGCAATTAGAGTGGATATAAACTCAGATTATGTATAAATAAAGATAGGTTTATATGTACTTTATATCGTAGTTTTGGTGTCTTTTTTTTTTTTTTTTTTTTTTTTTTTTTTTTTTTGGTATACCGTTTTGGTGTCTTTTAATTTTACATGTTAAGGGCCAAGTAATCCTTTGAGGCATTATATATTTCTGTGTAAAATGGCAAATTTAAGCTTGATGTATAAATTAAATTCATTTATCACATTTGTTAATGCTTTTTCTTGCTTTTCATTATCTTACATTTGGAGTATGGAATTAATCATACACCAAACATAGGATATCTATGCATATAATCCACTGCAATAATTTTTTTTATATTTACGATTTAATTAAAACAAAAATTAAAAATAATTGTCACAGATATTTATATGATATACTTTTATTTATTTATATACAAGTAAATCTATTCATGATTGAATTTTGGATTTGGTAAATTTTATAAAAGATTTTTTGAGAAGAGTAAATTTTATAAATAATTAAGGCTTGATTTCATTTGTAAAATCAGAGTTTCTTTTTGAATTTAATTTAATCTTATTCTTAATTATAGATTTGGGATTTTGGATAGATATTTAAAAAGTGCAATCTTGATATGCATCCTCTTTTGTGTTTTTTATTTTTTTTTAATAATTTTTGTGGGCTCAACTTTGCGACAAGAATTATATTCTTGCTAAACAAAATTGCTTGTTTAATGTCATTATTACATATAAATCTGTGAAAATGATTGAAATCTTAGAAGATGGGTATCATCTGTATCAGTCAAAATAAGCAATTTTGACCATCAGTCCCACTACGAATATTGAGAGTTACTTTTAGGATAAAAAGTTCATTAAGTGGGTTATATTTGTGTACTTCGATTCTAAAGAAGTGACTAATGCCTATTTTGTAATGGCTTTAACAAAAGGAAGAACAAATTCTATGAGCAGACAAGAAACTTTTAATATTTTTCCTATAACATGGCTATCTTGTTCCCTTTGCCATATATATATCATTTATTTTAAGATTAGCTTTTTAATTAACTTTCATTATTCAAAGAACCATAAGTAAAAGCCACAAAAGATCAATCAATAATGCCATAAAGTTTGAGAGATACGCAATTGTAACTAACTCCAAGGTTGGCCCTCGAGATTCTCCAAACTATATTTACTTCGACGGATATTTTCATTTTCGGAAATGATATTCGAATAAAATTCCATTAATATTAGCGAATTTATGTTTTAATTTAATTCCCTAAACTTACAAATAACTTAGTAACATTTTTTTGTAAAGTATGATAAAAAATGTTTTACAAAAAATGTGTTTTGCAATAGTTAATGTTATTTTTTTTATAGTATTCGGTAATATAATATTTAAATTAATAATGTTTTATAAAAAGTTAACACATGTAACACTTTAGTTTTTAGTATTTAACAATTTAGTTTTTAGTATTTTATAAAAAATTGTTCAAATTAAACAGCTAATAGTTAAAACTATTGAAACAGCTAACTGTTGAGAATTTGGGCCAATTAATCAAATCAAATTCAATTATATATTTAATATTGGACTTATAATGAATTGGACTTACATTTAACGCAAAATGGTCTAAGCCTTTTGACTAGTTCACCCTTTACATTATATGTCATTTTAGTTAGTTGTATTTATCCGATGTGGGATTACCCACATACTCCAACACTAACACCTACCAAAACAACTAATTCTACCGAACAAATCCAAAGTATTAAAAACCCCCCCACTTCCTTTGTCCTTTTATGATAAGTTGGAATCTGTTACAGATTGGGTGTTAGATAAAGATGTGCTCTATAAATACGACAGTACTAATTACAAACAAGGCAAACCGAAAAACACCAAAAGAAACAAAACAAGTCTACTATATTAGACATATATATGGATTTCTTATCCCATAGAGGAATAGATAAAAATTGCCCTAGGACTTGCGTGAACAAGAAAGGTGTGGGCGGTGTTGTTCATTACTCAGAAGAACAATTGATGAACATGTTTAAAAGCTATGACACCGATCATGACCGCCGGCTTAGCAAGCAAGAGCTCAAGAACTTGTTCAATAAGTTGGGTTCTCGTTTTGCTGGCTGGAGAGTTTGGCGAGCTCTTCATCATGCAGATGCTAATAAAGATGGGTATATAAGCGAGGAAGAATTTTCCGATCTTGTTAAGTATATTTTAAAATGTGATTACAGGATTTAGTAGCCATGTTTTCTGCATCAAGACAAGTGAATACGTTTTTACCTTCTTTTTTTAAGCAAAACCCTTCTTCTTTTTTTTTTTTTTTTTTTTTTTTTTTTTTTTTTTTGGCAGTTGGTGTGGTTTCTTCATGTACAGTTTCATTTTTCCTAATTCTAGATGTAATCATGTAGGATGCTTTTGTGTAATGAAAACTAGAGGAAAATATTCCTGTAGGCCTTTTTTTTCCCCTCCCCCTTTCTTCTCTATGGATAATGTTTGGATAATGGAAGCGAAAGGACGATTTTGTGGATAGTAAAATTTAAGTTTAATTATTTTTTTTTTTTTTTTTTTGAAAAAAAAGTGCAATGAACGAGGGTAAAAGTGTAATTTCATTATTTTCCTAAAAAATTGGAGGAAAAAATCACATATGCCGATCCTATAATATATTTTTCCTCTCATATTTTCTTCATTCCTAAACGAATCATGGAGGAAGGAAAATCTTTTGTATTATCTTCCTTTTCAGTTTTCTTGCCCCCGTATTTTCCATCAATCCAAATATAATATGAAGGAATTGGATGCTCCATAAATTAACAAAGACATGCACAAACTTATGTGGTAGTAGTTATTCCATATAAGGCATGAATAATAATTTTATAAGAATCTATTATTTATTCGCACATGAAAATATTTCCTAGTTTACACTTAAAATAAGTTATTAGCAATACTAATGTTTTACTAGCTTAATTCTTCTGGAATTTTTAATTATCAAATCAAAAAATAAAAAAACAAAAAGTGATTTTTTTAAATATTGGGGATGGAAATTCGAACATGGTAATTAATAATTTATTTTAAATAGATATTTGTTCTCTGAATAAAAAATCAGTGCGTTAAATTTTTATTAGAAAAATACTTAATTATTTTACTTTCATTGTATCCTTTAAATATGATTAATGCTATTTCTTTCTAATACAAAATATACATCCAACAATTGATTCCTTATGCTAATAAATTATGTTTAATAAATAAAAAAAATAAGCAACTAACACCAAATATATATCACATTACTACAAACACAGCAAAAAAAACAAAACTACTGAATGGAAAAAAAAAAAAAAAAAAAAAAAATTGGGAAATCAACTTATAAAAATATAAAAATCATAGTTCCCCCCCACCCCCCGCCCCCCCCACCCCCAATTATTTGAAATTTATTTTCAAGGAATCCAATTTATAGACTAGAAGCCAAAAAAGAAACTCTCGAAATTGAAGGAGCTTTCCAACTTTGGCCAAAGAATCCGCATGAGGGTAGATCCTCCGTATTTGCTTCGTGTTTTCTCTAACGGGATCACTTACCATGTGGTTAACTGGGTAGCTGTAATGGCCACATTATTGAATTTATTTCAAGGAATCCAATTTATAGACTAGAGCCAAGAAAAGAAACTCTCGAAATTGAAGGAGCTTCCAACTTTGGCAAAGAATCCGCATGAGGGTAGATCCTCCGTATTGCTTCGTGTTTCTCTAACGGGATCACTTACCATGTGGTAACTGGTAGCTGTAATGCGGTTGTTCTTCCTTCAAAGGTTGTTTCTGAGAGTATGTTTTCTTATTGCCTATAAGGTGTTTGTATAATTGCCTAGCTGGAGTGGAGTGTCTGTTATGTTTTATAACTTTATATTCTCTCTTCTTACAAGAAAAATAAAAGAGAATGGTGGTAAATCGAGAAAATATTCAAAGCTACTTCATTTTTAGCTGTTGATCGTAACAAGTTAACAGAAAAGCTAAAGAATAAATACATCAAGAACTAAAATTCCTTTCAATTTGCAATGAGACTGTCCTTTTTGAAGCAAAATCAAAATTTTTTTGTACGGAGGACATCGCAAGCTTCAGAAAATCTTGCACAAATATATTAAGGCTGCTCTGTGCTTTTGCTTGCAACGATAGCAAAGGATCTGCTTTCTAAAGGCAGTTCAAAGTCTTCATTAGGCGTCTACAGGATAAATCCCCGTCCCACAAATATAAGTGTATCTTCAATTACCATTGGATGTCTCCTTGAGGGCTGATGTAGGATGTCCCCTTTGTTATTCCTTCTTTCTTCTTCAATAAAATCTACAGGTTAATTGTTTATCTGGGTGCAAAACAAAGGAATGAAGATATATAGCTACGAAAATTCATGTGTTGGCTTATGTAGTTAGTATCTGGCAGAATATAGTAAAAATCTAATACTAATCATCATTCGAACAAAAAAAGATATATGTATATGTGTGTGTGTGTGTGTGTGTGTGTGTGTGTGTTACGTAACAATGATACATCAAAAATCAAAATATTCTAATAGATTATAATAATTAATTGAAATTATGTAGAATGAATCGAAGGTGTATGCAAACACAAGGAAAAGGGAAGAAAAAAGGGAATAAAACTCAAACAACTCTTTATTCTGTTGTATTAGTATTACCTGTTATTATTTCACACTAAGTTTGGCTCTTGCATGACCATGTGATATTTGGAACTGTTCAGTTAACCCAAAATGTGCCATCAGGAGCCACACATGAGTGAGAAGTTCTCCGCCCCGTCCCAACTGCTGAGCATGATTGGTTCCTCTACAGTGGCTGGCAGCATAAGCCAGCATTTCCACCCACACATTACTCAGCACCTCCCACCTGTTTGGTTTTGGTATGTTTTGCAGATCTGATGCTAGCCTGCATGCATCAAATAACACAGACTTGCTTCTGTCTCCTTTTACTTTAACTGGAGGAACTACAGTGTTCACGTTAAGTAACGCACTGCAGGCTTTAATTTCATATGGATCGAATGTTCCCTTTTTGAAAAGATTGATTGCCCAAGAACTAATATTATTATACTTTTGGATACCAGATGCTGTGGATTTGTGCTCTTGAAAAAATTTTGTTGCTTCAGTGCAAGTGTCTTGGTATCTGATCTTCCCGATCCCCATTGGCAACATGGAAGGACGCATAACCAGGAGATACAACATATACTGCGACAATGATTTGCTTATTTTTTTAAAGTCCTTGCCATTATTCTGTTCATTTTTCCCACTTAGCACTCCATTTTTGGGCTGATTTTGCTCACTAGACACTTCATTTTTATGGTCACTTTGCACACTTTCCACTTTAGGTTTTTGCTCATTTTGCCCACTCAACACTTCATTTTGTTGCTCATTTTGCCCACTCGACACTTCATTTTTTGCTCATTTTGCACACTCCACACTTCAGTTTTTTGCTCATTTTGCACACTCCACACTTCAGTTTTTTGCTCATTTTGCACACTTGACACTTCATTTTTCTGCTCAATTTGCCCACTTGACACCTCATTTTTTTCCTCATTCTGTACACTCGCCACGTCAGTTTTTTGCTCATTTTGCACACTTGACATTTCATTTTTATGCTCACTTTGCACACTCAACACTTCAGTTTTTTTCTCACTTTGCACACTCGCCACCTCAGTTTTTTGCTCACTTTGCACACTTGACACTTCATTTTTATGCTCAGTTTGCACACTTGGCACTTCATTTTTATGCTCACTTTGCAGACTCGACACTTCAGTTTTTTGCTCACTTTGCACACTCGACACTTCAGTTTTTTGCTCACGCTCACTTTCCATACTTAGCACTTCATTTTTTTGCTCTTTTTGCCCAATGGACTCTTCATTTTTTTGCTCATTTTGCCCACTCGACACTTCATTTTGTTGCTCCCCTTGCCTACCTTGATCATCAACTTTGATTGTTAGCTTATTCTCTTCATTTTGTTGCTCCCCCTGCCTATTTTCCTTAGATTGCATTAGAATTGTAGCAATGTGCCAAATAAGAATGCTTTGGTCAAACTCTACCTCCACACTCCAAAGCAATTGATTAAACTCGCGGAGGGCGTGACTCCCCCTATACATGCAGATATCTTTAAGCTCTTTCTGGTACTTCTGTTCTTCTGTGCTTGATTTAGTCTGCATGAGATTGTCGAATTTCTTCTTGAGATGTTGAAATATGGAATCTTTCAACTCATCAGTGACTTCTTCCCAAGTCACATGCTGGTATTCTAGTATTTTGTCAATGCCAAAGAGCTTGTGGATTTTGCTGTCGATCATCATGGGCTGACATGTGAGGCAATAGCTCAATAAACTATATTGCGGCAGGGAGTTTGACCATCTCTGACGTCTACGCAGCTGTAGAGGAGTGATTACTTGGCGAATAACTCCTTTGTGCTTAGACAGATAAAGATCTGTCCAATCTGATGAGACTTGTAAAAGCATTGCATATAGCTCAAGAAGAACAGCTATAACCAGCAACAAGAAGGTTATGGCTATATCAATCTTGGAGCATTTATGCTTGCTGGATAAAGAGAAAAAGACTAGTACAATGCAGGTGGTGGCGAGAGTGATGAACCGAAGCCAACAGCCCTTGCGTGTGTAAATTATTGTTCCTTTAGTGTAGAGCAAATCATACATGAATCCGAGTTCAATCTCGACAATTTTGAAAGCATCTTGGCAGGATATTTGACCAAACAAAGACTGGCTATTGTCTCGATCCTGAAAACTGAGGATGAGATCAACAAAGAGACGCTTGAAAGTCTTGAATAAGTAATGAGCTTTAAGCAATTCGGTTGCACCTTCAAAGGAAATATCCCCCATGGAAGAAACATCCACTGTGACTTGCCCCTCAACTACTTCATCTGCTACTACATAGAACCCTTCACATTGCTTTAAAGTGAATTCCTCCATGAACTTGGAGTAATTCGGACCGGGATCTGGAGCTGTAATCATGGAATCTCTCAATTGCTCGTTGCTTGCTGTTCGAAGCGACCATGTCCTCTCTCCATATTTGATAATTCCTGCCAAGAACATTGGCATGGTAAGAATGGAGAAGCGAGAACTTGACCAGGCCAGAAGAAATATATACAGTGCGACTCCTGTTTGTACTCCAATCCCAAGAAAGTGTCTCAACCACAGTTCATTGTCCTCCAAAGAATATGCAGTGATAGTATCAGGGCCACCCAAGTGCAGCAGAAGAAATGGCGCCCAAAATGCAGTAAGCTGTGTGTCTGCGTCTAACTTTGGTTTTTTACTCTTATTGTCCTCGTACAGATCTCCCATGTTGTTCAAGAGCACTCCAAGAGCAACTGTAGCTACCCAATCGGCCATCAAGTAGGCACACCATAACAGCACTCGAACCCAGGTTCTCCTCGAATATTTCCTACGATTTCCAAAAAAGATTAATAGTATCTGCAAGACAAGGCTGAGTAGAACCAGAACACGAAGCTCCCATTCCTTCCACAATTTCCTCACTGCTGGAGAAAAAATTTCCATGTCTATTCTTGCCTTTACGTAAATTAAGCCGCTAACAACTGAAAATCGAGCGCAGGGTGTTAGAAACTTACATATATAAATTAACTCTGAATTACATTAAATTGAGTAAAAGAAACAAAATAGTACATTTTTAAAATAATAATAGAAGTGGAGAAATAATTACGTACCAGCTGGGATCATACTGCCAAAGTTGAAAACCTTGTTTCAAGCTAAAATTTGGGCTTAAAATGTAATTTCCATTCTTGGGTCTTGTTGGGTTGGCTGAAATGAACAACACGAGTGCCTTACAAATAGAATGGAGCCATTTTAAATACATAGGCTTATCCACGTGTCACACGTTGGAATATTTGAAACTCTTCTGATACGCAATCGATCAGTTACTCTGAGATCTGTAAGGATGAATGAATCTACCAAACAAGTCCAATTTTATATGTCCCAGTCGCCAAAATTTAACACATGAATACAGTCTTATCCTTTAAATAGTAGTTGTAATTACTAATTGAATAATTAGCCTGCTGTGCTGTATCTATTATCAGCAATTACAATTAAAGAAATTTCAGTAGAAAAATTAAAATTATATTAAACATTGCTTGGAAACAATTTATATTAATTAGGGAATTAATGAAAAGAAACAAGAAAAATTAAAAATATATTAGTTAGGAAGAATTTTTCATTAATTTAGGAATGACAGAATAATATTAATATAGAATAATACTTTCGAGTTTGTCTGTGATTTCAATTGCCCAACACCTATCCACAGGGTTAAATGTAAGTTGAACATACAGCCTGTGAGGAAAAAAGGAACACAAGGAGAAAAGAAAAAAAAAAAAAAAAAGGAAAAAGCAAAAGAATAAAAGGAAAATAAAGAACTCTCATTCTTAACGTACATAATAAGAAAATGAAAAGGAAACTAATTAGAATTTAAAGCTACGCTAATGAGTGAACGGGCTTTGTTGAGGAAAGTAATTCGAGTATAGGTTCTTTAGTTGTACTTTTCTTGAACTAAGAATCACGCCATTGGCTTGGCTTCGGTCTCCCATCTCTGAGATATCTCAGTTCGCAGGCTGATTAAGAGGACGTATTAATTGTTCGTACCATATAAGTAATTGTTTCTGTATAGAATATGAAATTCATATCATTTAGTTGTTGAAATTTTGGAAGGAAGAATAGAAATGCACGTGATGATTAAAAATGTTTAACATTTCATTGAATTAATAAAAGGATATGCCTATTTATAGGCTTATAAGTGAATCAAATAAGACCTAAAAATACTCCTAAAAATCACTAATCCTAATAACAAAAACATCAAATTCTATGCAGAAAATCTGCACTAAATAAAATTGAAATTTCAAAATTTCTATGCAGAAAATCTGCACTAAATAAAATTGAAATTTCAAAATATTTTTAATAATATTATTTTGAATTAATCCTAACATTCTGTGTTAATTCAAACATAATATTTTTTATTACAATAATTAACAATTAAAAATTTTTAATCTAGAATTTGAAGCACTTCTCTTCCATTAACTTTGTTGAAGCGCCTCTTTCCAACTCATTATTTTGATACACTTCTCACCAAAATTTTGATGCATTTCTCATCAAACTAGCAATTTTTTTTAACTTTTTGAAGCACTTCTCTTCAAATATTGATACACTTCTCATCACTTTTCTTTTATTTTGGAGCACATCTCTTCAATGTTCTCTTAGAATATATCTCTCCAATACTCAAAAAGAGTTTCTTCCTTTGATACCAAGGTATGACCCAACACGGGAACTTCCCTTATGGTTCGGATCCAAGGAAGGCTCTGATATCATGTTGAAATTTTGGAAGGAAGAATGGAAATGCACAAGATGATTAACAATGTTTAGCACTTCATTTAATTAATAAAAGGATATGTCTATTTATAGGCTTACAAGTGAATCAAATAAGATCTAAAAATATTCCTAAAAATCATTAATCCTAATAATAAAAATATCCAATTCTATGCAGAAAATCTGTACTAAATAAAATTGAAATTTCAAAATATTTTTAATATTATTATTTTGAATTAATCCTAACATCAGTTAGGATTAATCTTTGTATTTTTGTCGACCAAACGAAGGAATTTGACAAATCCAAGAAATATTTAAATTTTTCCGAGTAAGGTTATGAACTATGCTAGAAAAATAGATAAATTGGAGGGCTCAAGGGAATAATTTCAAAGCAAACACATTTATATTACAACAGAAACACACTTTTATAATTACAACAACTGGAAGACAGAATAATTAGAAAAATACAATCACAAATGGAGCAATAAAAAACAAGCAATTAGAAATTGTCCATCATTTTAAATTTACCAGTTGAGAAAGAAATCCCCATTTCTCTTATTTAACATTAATTTCCAATTATAAGCACACTTCCATTTGGCTGTCTTATCACTTTTGCATTTAAGATTGTCCTTCTGACAGATAGCTCTGCATCAAAATATATGTTACAGCAGAATTTTTTAGAAAGCATTTAAGGAGCAAATTGTTCTTAAGACAAGAAGAAATGAAATGACTTAACATTTATAAGGGGGAAAATGTAATTAAAGAGAAATAACAAAAACTTACTGGCAGAGGATCGAACTTCCAATTGTTTTTTGTAATCTTCACATTCCTCTCCTTCATGGTGCTTTCCATTTCTGCTACAAAATCTTCAGACATATTCGTGAGAATCAATTCCTTCAAGGAGTTCAGCTGCTGCCAACCACTAGTTTCCTTCAGTTTATCGCAGCGTCTAATTTCTAGTTCTCTAAGGCGAAGCATGGAACCTTCCTGCACAATCCACTTCTCCAATTCCTCTAGCATCCACAGTTTCAAGACTCGGAGTTCTGGAAACCCTTTAGCTTTACAAGTCATCTCCTTCCCTATGTAGGAGCGAGCAAAAAGTCTCAGGATTTTCAGTTGAGGTAGTTCCCCTAGAGTTTGCATTGGATCCTCGGTTAAATTTGACACGGATAGAGTAACCATCTTGAGATTTTTGGGAAGCTGAAGGTGTTCAATTTTCTGTGATAATTTTCCAAGCAGATACAATTCTGAAAGACGATCATGTTTGTTCATGCTCTCCAACTTGAGTTCTGAAGGCCTGCTAAATTCATCTATAGACCTTAGCTTCAAAGATCTAAGTTCTTTACACTTAGAAATCCAAGGACTTATCTGCTCAAGTGATTTGAAATGGAATGTGAGTCCGAGTTTCATTAGACGAACCAAACTATTCAACCAGTCTTCTCCAGGGCTTTTTTTGCCTATTATTAACCCCCACAAAGTCAATAGGTTGCCAAACTATTCAACCAGTCTTCTCCAGGGCTTTTTTTGCCTATTATTAACCCCCACAAAGTCAATAGGTTGCCCAAGGAACCACTACCTAATGGCTTTTGGAAGGACACATTTAAATATATTTCGTTCATATAAAGATGTCGAAGCTTCTTTGAGTTCCAAATAGAAATAGGCAAGGAGTTTATGTTTGTGTGCTTCACATCCAGTATTTCCAAATTAGGAAGATCACCAACAGAATTTGGGATTGAATCTAGAAAAGTCCATCTTAAGCCTAGGTAAGTCAAATGTACGAGTTTTCCTATTGCTTGATCAGATAAAACTGGTTTATAGACATTTTCTAGATCAAGTACTGTAAGCAATGAAAAGCCTCGTTTTCTAATCATCATGGTTAGAAACTTATCAACTTCATCTGCAGGTGTATCGCCTTTTCGGGTGTTAAAAGATATATAAGAACGTAAATTATCAATGTCTAATGGAGAGCTACTGATGTCTACATATGCGGCAACTCTCCTTATACTATAGGTTTGCTGATATTTTGAGCTACGAATAACATCATAAAATCCACTGTCTGTCGCATTTGGGAACACATTATCATATAGGATACCTGGCACACGACATGTTCTGGGACTTCCATCCAATCTCCATCTTGCAACTTCTATCATGTTCCTTGTGATCAGTGCATTCAAATAACGCTCAACCAATTCTTCAGGGGTTTTACCTTTTACTGATGCATCCTCCAATTCTTCAGGGGTTTTGCCTTCTAATGATTCATTGACCAGTCCTTCAGCAGCCCACAAATGGAACAACCTCCGTACGGGGATCACATATTCTTTCGGGAAAATGCCTAAATAAAGTAGACATAGCTTTAGGGCTGATGGAAGTTCCTGGTAGGCCAAAGCTAATATAGCTTTGGAGGGGTCATCACCAAAACTTAAACGCTCAACTCTATCCTTCCAACTCCCTGTATCTTTGGTAGATAAAAGACCTCCCAGCACAACAATTGCAAGAGGCAAACCACTGCATTTTTGCCATATTAGCTCCTTTAATGATGCATCAACTAAGCTTTCTTCAGTTTTTGGTACTTTCTTCAAGAACAATTTCCAGCTTTGATCAATGTCTAAATTGGGTAGCTCAATAGGAGTGGATCCTTGATCGTTCATCAATTCTGCTATTTTTTTGTCGCGAGTGATGAAAATCAGCCTGCTGCCATTTAATGAGTTTGGAAATGTTCGTTTGAGGTTCTCCCACATAACATCAGTCTTGACATCATCTAAGACTATTAGGTACCTCTTGCGAAAAAAGAAATCACGGGCCTTCTCTTCCAATTTATCAGGTTGCAACTTCTCCTCATCTTTGATTGTTGTAACTAGCTTCAATATGTCAATTATAAGATTTTTCATTTTCTGCTCAACAGCATCAGAAGCAACTGATTCTGGGAACTCTTCAGACAAATTAACCCAAGCACGTAGTTGAAAATGCTGCACAACATTGGCTTTGTTATAAATATTCCTCACAAATGATGTCTTGCCAGATCCAGCAGCACCCACCACCGAAATAAGAAAACGCAATTTACGGCGGTTAAGTATAGCTTGTTCTAACTTTTCTGCTTCGCTTTCTCGCCCAACGAACTCTGATTCGTCATCTGAACGATCTGCAATTGTGCCCAATTGCTGGGGTGGTGCTCGTCTTTCTTTTGAAATTGCTCCAGCTTCAGCTGAATCGGTTGGTGTTTTATTTTGCATGCTTTCTTTGTCTGCTGCAATCTCTTTTTGATCAACATCATTGCTTTCTTGTGCTGCTTTTGAAATTATTCCAGCTTCAGCTGAATCAGTTAGTGTTTCATTTTGCATGCTTTCTTTGTCTGCTGCAACCTCTTTTTGATCAACATCATTGCTTTCTTGTGCTGCTTTTGAAATTATTCCAGCTTCAGCTGAATCAGTTAGTGTTTCATTTTGCATGCTTTCTTTGTCTGCTGCAACCTCTTTTTGATCAACATCATTGCTTTCTTGTGCTGCTTTTGAAATTATTCCAGCTTCAGCTGAATCAGTTAGTGTTTCATTTTGCATGCTTTCTTTGTCTGCTGCAACCTCTTTTTGATCAACATCATTGCTTTCTTGGAAATTATTCCAGCTTCTGCTGAATCAGTTGGTGTTTCATTTTGCATGCTTTCTTTCTCTCCTGCAACACCTTTTTGATCATCAGTATTGCTTTCTTGTGCACCCTCATCTTTATTTTCTACAGATTGTCTTTCTTTATATTCGATAATGCGTTTGTCAATCTCCTCTGTCAGTGACCGCATTCTTCGAACTAGAATTTGGCTCTGCACGGGCATGAATTGGCTGAAAACACGTACTTTACCAGAAATTTTTTGTTTCTGCAATGTCGTTTTTACAAAGAAGGTATCAATCGTGTCCTCTAGTGAGTAAATCTCCTTCAGAGGGTTCCTCTCCAAATTTTCATCACTGATATTTTTCTGGCTGTTTGTCAGCAACTTCTGAACACTTCCCAATGTCTCCTTGGTATTCTCTATTTGGCACTTCAATCTTGGATTATTAACTTCTTTATCTTTGAGAGCTTCTAGTTTTTGCAAAATAAGGTACACTGCTAGTGCTGTAGACATGACCGCAGATTGCTTGCCTCTGCTTCTTCTTTCTCAGAAATAACACAATTCACGACTTGGTCAGACTTTTTGAGTGATTGGCGTTATGTTTTTGGAGAATTGTTAGACAACAAAGAATAGAATAGGAAATGTAAGACTGATACTGCTAATAACTTGGCCAAGTTAAGCTTTTGATGGCTTATTTATTTATTTATTGGTTTAGCAAGTTTAAAATCTCATTTTCAATAGAGAGAGAGAGAGAGAGAGAGCTACAGTATTATTATACTTTACTTTTCTTATGACTATTTAAAATTGAGGATTCTTTCTTTTTAATTATCCAATGGATAACTTGTCTTGTATTTTTTAATTTTGAATTTAGAATAAAAAATATATAAGATACCTTAAATGAGATAGAATTCAACTGCCTAACATTCACGAAAAAGGATAAAATAAAAATAATTTTTTAAAAAATTCTTATTTTCATTAGTTTGGTACATAGATGAAACTGATCTAGAGAAGTATTTTCAAAAGGGAATAATTGATCAAACCCTAGTTAGTTTTGATCCTTTACCTCTCGGTCTTTCACGCACAATAAAAAAAACAAAGCAAAAGCTCAAATTTTGCCTTGGTTTTACAGGCAGGTACAAGATGCTTTACCCTTGCGTTATTAAGACATGCTACTTATTTTCTTAATCAAGTCTTTTTGTCAATTCCGTGAACGTAGGTTCCACTTGTCGGTCCTACAAAATGGAGAATTATACAAGGTGTTAGTGCACATCTACATTTATCAATTTCAAATTCTTTCAACAGGGTAAATTATACTTTCCTAGATAATTGAGAGAGAAAAATAAAAGTGCAAAAAGAATGGAAGAACTCAAGCCTCAGGTACCATTCATAGTAGCAATAAAAGATCATCCAGGATCTATAGGCAGCAGGAAAATATCACATGAATTAGCAGAGTTCGTACGATGTCCTCTTATTAATGAAAATGATATCACCCAAACCCTTGAAAAAATATCCATTCCAACCCCCTCAAGTTCAACCATAACTCAAACTTCTAATGAGCTTTCAGACAATTTACCTTTTGAGATTGTTTCTCAAATTGCCTTAACCCAACTCAACTTGAAGTTCAATGTTATCATCAACATATTGCTATTCAATGATACCCGTCTCAATAAATTGATTGAATTGGAGCATTCTGGGAAGGCGCGCTTGATCATTATTCAAGGCGAAAGCAATAATCATCAAGATTATTATGACAGTGGTCATATCTTGAAGGTAAGCATCGACGAAGAGTCATTTAATGTGAATGAAGTTGTCACCAAAATGTATAATTTACTAGATGGTATGAGAGAAAATGCAAAGAGTCACAACAAACTTATCAGACAACCTATAAATGACCATTTGCATGAATTAGTTTTATCCAAAGAGCCAAGAACAAACAAAATCCTATGCAGAAGTTGCTCAAAACTTATTTCTGGTCTCTCTTATGAATGTGCAGAGTGCAATGAGTTCACCTTTCATAAATTATGTGCAGAGTCGTCCCCAGATGTAAAGAATTGTCCTCGTTGGTTAAGGAAAATGAAGCCAAAGCAATATGACTTCCAAAAGACATATAAATGTAATAACTGTGCAGAATTTTCAGAAGATTGTTATGATTGTCTCTTCCAAACCAACGTCAAACATGGATTTTTGCCGACTATTCTTCATCAGCAAAGACATCAACACTTTCTTAATTTCATTATCATGCCCTTCCAGTATAATTATCAATATAAATGCTGTATTTGTGATAAACTGGGCAGCTCAGTTAGCTACTCATTATCATGCCCTTCCAGTATAATTATCAATATAAATGCTGTATTTGTGATAAACTGGGCAGCTCAGTTAGCTACAAATGTTATGATTGCAACTATGATGTTCATGTCAAGTGCATATTACCAAGCACTACTTGGATGCGTGGGAATGATTATTCCCTTGTCTCTGCGTCGTCGTATCATCAAGATGAGTTGGAAAAGTATAATTGTGATATCTGCCATGAAAAAATAGAAGCGAGCCAACTATTATATTGGTGTGAAGAACAAGATTTTATTCATGCGGGTAAAATTAAATATTTTACTGATCAAAACAAAAATTTACCCATTCATGTGAAGTGCATGCCTAGTGTTATTGAAGAAGAGAGTATTGATCGGGAAGCTATTGAATTCATCAAGATGGAGCATAAGAATTTTGAGTTATCGAAATGGAAAACCTTTAAGTTGCATTAATTAATTATTATCAGGGTTTGGTATATGTCAGTTAACCAGAGATTGCTACTGATTGTTAACACAGCTATTTACTTATTTGTGGGTTTGGTCTGGTTTGTATTCCTGCAGCAGGTTAAAATCATTCATTTTTATATTATTTGTCACATTTGAAGTAAAATGATTTAATAATATTGTGTTTTTCTTTTTTTTTTTTTTTTTTTTTTTTTTTTTTTTTTTTTTTTTTTTTTTTTTTTTTTTTTTTTTGTTCTTTTCATATAGTAGCTAAGCTTAATTAACTACTCCCTACAAGTATTGTAATTTGATTGCAGAGAAACTTCCAATTTGTAATTGTAATGTTCTTATGAACCGTGTAGGTCATACATGGACTTACAAGTTGTAATTTATCACACAATTAGCAAGCTAAATAGAGTTATTTATTTATCATTCCTAGATCTTTGAAAAACAGTAGAAAGAAAAATATGTGCAAAAAATAAAAACAGCAGGTAAACTACACAAATTACTATTAGAGGGTGAAAAGTGCAATTGAATACAGTTAACAAATCAAAATTATAAGAAAAAGACAATTTTTTTTGGTAATTCTACAAAATACATCATAAAAAAGATATCAGAATATATAAAGTTGAGAATACAATCGGAAAAGAGAGGAACCCTTCCAATCCAGAAAAGTAGAACAGAAAATGCAAGGGGTTGAATCAAATATATTCTAGGAGATAAGTAGGAATAATAATGTATAAGCAACTGTAGGGACATAACAAAGAGTTCTACGTACGTAAACTCTATATAAACCCACATTTCCTGAATTGAAATATCAGAAAGCAAGGGAGCCATTGTTGCTATTAGCCAAGAACTAGTAGCAAGTTATTTGGGTTCTGAGAGTATGCCTCGTCAACCTTATATTGCTTATAAAGGAAACGTTCCTCAGCCTATTTTAAGTGAAGAGCTTATAAAGGAAATTATCAACAGATGTGACATCAATCATGATAATATTATCAGCGAGGAAGAGCTAATCAAAGCTTTTGATGAACTTGGTTCGAGGTTCCCTTGGTTTAGAGCCCAGAAGGCCATGGCTTGTGCTGATTCCAATAAAAATGGACAAATCGACTCCGATGAGTTGGATCAAGTCGTCAAATACGCTAGCAAGCAAGGATACCAATTCAAGAAGTCACAAAAAGCTTATTTGAATTGATGTAATTAGTAATATCCATGTAAGGTGTTGCTTAATAATAATTAGCAACTTTTCAACTTGCTGTTAATTAATATTGGAGTTACTTTTGGGTGTAAGGTTGTAAGTTTAAATTTTCCCGAAATCTAATTTTAGAAAAAAAAATTTAGCTTTTCTTTTTCTCCTTTGATAACACTGTGAAAAAACATCCATTCATTGTGCATGTATAAGACAGAATCTATTCGGTTTTTTTTTTTAAAGATAGTATAAAGTTGGGAATAATATAAAGGGTGCAAGGACCAATAAAGAGAGGCCTATATAAGCGCAAGCTTCCACTCCAACAAACTCATATTGCAATAGCTTTAAGCTCCGTTTATGGCTACCCATTTGGTTCAAGATAATAAATGTATGAATAGTAAAGCCGTGCCTCTAACCGAACAACAGATACGAGAAATTATCATCAGCTGCGATTCCAATCATGACAATCTTCTCGACATGGATGATCTAGAGAAAGCCTTTCGTCAACTGGGTTCAAAGCTCCCTGGTAATCATGACAATCTTCTCGACATGGATGATCTAGAGAAAGCCTTTCGTCAACTGGGTTCAAAGCTCCCTGGTTTTAGAGCCACCCGTGTTATGAGGTACGCCGATGCCAACAGAGATGGACTCATCGACTTGAATGAACTTAACGATGTCGTTAAATATGCTAGACGACAAGGCTACTCCTTTAAGTGAAAGGTTTTTCCAGTTCAATACGATGTCGTTAAAGCTCTGGAAAATAAAATAAATGTGTCGTTAAAGCTTTATTTGCTGTCGTATATGTATCCAATAAAGAGCGGATAGATAAAGATAACCCTCTGCTTCGTGACATTTATTACTTCTATGAACCAGTACTTAAGTCATTTACTTTTTTTTCATGAGAAATAGAGGTTAATTAAACAAAATCTGGAAAAACAATCATTAATGAGACTTTTTTTTTGGTTAATTGTGTGACTATTGTTTAAACCTATGTCTTCTTAATTTAAAAATCATCTGTCACTGTTTAGAACTTGTTTTGTCTAAAATTATCAGCAATTTTAATAAAATTAATTTTTTTTTAATTTTACTCTTATTTCTATTAACTACAATAGTTATGTTCTATAATTTTCTAAAATTTATTTTATCACATCCCTTTTATCTCTTTTACTTTTAGTGGTAGATAATTAAATGGAGAGATAATTATTAATAAGCAAGAAGTCATGAACTCAGTCTAGATAAATTTTTCTCATCAGAGCATTTAAATGAGATAAATGGTAGTTTAGTCAAATTTAGGCTAATTTGTTTTTGTTTAAGTGATTTAATTAGATTACACTTTTATATTCACTAGAGTAATTATTGTTGGCTACATAATAGATATAGCTTTCTCCTTGTCTCATTAAATTGGTGAGAACTTAATCGAGATTCTTCATATTAATGAAAAGACTAATTATCAAACTATATCTGATTAGTGAATTGATGACTTTTTAATTATTATGCAAAAAACTTAAATGACGGAGAAAATAAAAATGAACAGACGATTAGACATGATTTAACTACAAATAATTGTCTGTAAACTAGCATTATCTCTAAATCCTGCATCATGATTATTACGTAAGGCATCTGATGTTTCTTGATGGTTTAATGCCTAATTATCATGTTATTCTCTGTGGTTTAAACGATTCCTCCTAATTAAAGGGAGAACCAAATATTCGTACAACTGCTTGGTATGAATTGGATGATGAAAAAAGCAAACCATTTTGTGAAGGAAATACATGCAAAAGGAATCTTAAGTCCTTTGATGACAAAAGAATAAGAATCAGTCAAAGCAGAAAGGAACTGTTTCTTTGGTACTATCTGGAGATAAAGATGCCTGTTAAGTAAAGATAAAAACGAATCCCTTGTTGCATATTTAAGTCTCTTTATCTCAATGATAAAGAGATGCTTATTAAATATCTAGACTACTATTTCATGCTTCATGTTTACTGCTACTCAGTATATCGTTCCATAATAACTGAATTATACTAAAACTTTTTTATATATAAGAGGATCTTAGGCCTCTGTTTCACTAATTGCCGTAGTTCTTTTTTTTTTTTTTCAGCTTGTAATTTTCTTTCTAGCAGTTAATAATTTACCGTTTGTGTCTGTGGGGTGTTCCAAACTATCAAAATATTGTTCTTGTTAATATATTATAACCAACCATAATTTTAAAAAGTTGTACGTGAATTGCTTACAACCTACAAATGTTCTGTATATTATTAGAATAATTAACACAGTAATAATATAATATATCTCAAAAAGATTATGGGTTTAAAACCTCATATATAATATTGCCAACCAAGAGAGAAAATTGATTGGACTTTGCCGCTGCATGTTGTTCACATAATATGAAGATTTTTTTTAAAAAAAAAGTTTACAAGAAAGAATCAACCATATATCTCATCTGAAGATAATCAGAGGTAATGTGGATAATATAAGGTGTTCAGTATACAACAATTATCTTCTATTTAACCCCTAACTGCTTCTAAACTTCACATTCCAGAGCCCAGAAAAGTTAGTCCTACTAGAAAATCAAGGGAAAGGATGCCCAGACCGGCCAAAACCTTGAGTTGCAAGAGCGGATAAGGGAAATTTTTCTTGCAATTTACTGCAGACAAGCTGCAGACAAGAACAATGTTCTAAGCAGAAAAGAGCTAAAGAATGCATTCAAATACCTGGGTGCAATGTTTCCTACTTTTAGAGCATTACTCGGGATCTACCGTGCTGATGCGAATGGGAATGGAAAAATTGATTCCGACGAATTGGATGATCTCGTCAAGTATGCTAATTCACTTGGTTACACTGTTAAGGGTTAAGTAGAAATTAAATCACCAAACTAGGATATTAATCTGAGTTCTATGATAATTTCCCTTGTATGGCGACCGTGTAATGTGATTTTCTTTTTTTCTTTTTGTTTTTTAGGGTATAATGAAGTGAGATTGTGCAATCCTTGTAATTTTATCGATATATTAATTAAAATTAGAGAATGTTTGAATAATAAGTAATACATTCTCCTTTCATTATTATTTACATAACACTTGCATTTTTTTTTTTTTAAGAACTAAAGGAGGAGAATTCAAAGATAAATGTATTGTCAAATCATATATATGGTAAATGGTGTAAATTTCAAAGACAAATTTATGCATTAAGTCAATTAAAAATGGAAATTCATAGATTCATAGAGGCTAGCCCATTTAAGGAAAATAAAATCGGTTGGAAAATGCTAAAATTGGAACTAATCGATTTTAAGCTGTTTTTAGTTTCAATTGTTGAATGTCTTGAACTGCCGATTCAGTTCAGTGAATCAAAATTGTCTTTTAGTTAAACATTCAAACTAGCAATAAAAAATTTTAAAAAAAATCAATTAATGTAAAGAAGAAAATCATCAACATAAATTAATTATAAGCTTTTGCTTCTTTCGAAAAAAAAACATAAAATAATTAATGATTTTAATTTTCAAAGATGAAAATAGAAAACATAGTTGTTAGAATCTCAAATACCAAACCAAGATATGGTTAATAAATTGACAGTGATTTCAACTGCGGTGTTATGTTGGATTTTACCTTACTCATTTTATCATTGAATTTTAATAATTGAACTCTTCCGATTATATCCTTTTCAAATGAGAATTAATCAAATAAAATTGAATTGAAGTTTTGAAGTTTCAACCAAACTCATGGAGTACTAATTGTACTGTTTACTGAGGTTCTGTTTATGAGGTGTTGTTGATTTTGAACGGAATATATATATATATAATATATATATATACAAGACAAATATATACAAGACAAGAAAGCAAAAGAAAGAAGAGAAGATGCCAAATCTGTAGACATGCAAGTGCCATATGTAAGGTTCGGTGTGCGTGTATATTTGATTAGATGAAATTCAAAATAACATGAAATTCAAAATCAAATTAGTAGATGATTTTCAATTAAACAAATCGAATCCTAACTATAACTAGAGTAGAATATAAAGTAGCAAGCGCACGTGAAACTCAAAAGACACCATATATTCCAGTCCAAAAGGTTCTTCCATGACTATACAGATTTCAGATTTTGGTTCTGGTCCGATCCTTCACATGCAAGACAATACTTTTTGAAGAAGATAATTGGAATATAATAATGCAGGCCTAACTATATAAACCCCTCATCGTCATAAAACCATATTATACCGAAAAGGATCTTGTTTCTTATACACCTGTTTTAGAAGAACACCATTCCTCGTGTGATCATTAATCATCATTATCATAAAACTAAAGGTGTTCCTAAAATTTTAACTGAAAATGAGCTGAAGAGGATCTTCATGCAATTCGATGTGAATCGCGACAGTGTTCTTAGCAAAGAAGAGATAAAGAAAGCATTTGAGTATCTTGTGTTGGATATCAGCTCAGTGATAGACTCTAAGATTGATTAATAATTTATAACACTAAAAATAATAACGGGAAAGACAACCAAAATAATACAAACACAAAACACCAAATAAAATTGTATTAATAAGAAGCAAACGTTCACAAAGTTTAAGGAAATGATTACTTACTTGGTTTTTGCTTGGTGCTTGCTTGGTTATAAATGAGAGGAGGGGTGGTATTTATCGACATTTCTACCTCCTCAATGTACGGCTAAGATTTATTTACAAAAATGGACAGTCTAGATTACAAAGAACTTTTTAGAGTTAGGTAAAATATTTTCATTACATCTCATTTATGGAGAATTGTGGAGTATTCTAGAATGTGGGCTTAGACCTTCAACTTTGGGCTGGAGGCTTCCCAAGTCTTGGTCCATTATGGCAGCCCAATTTAGGTTGTGACTTTTCTAAATTAATCGGTGATATTTTAATACCCTCCCTCAACGATTAATTTCTCTTTCTTCATCATTCCCAACTGTTGGCGAAAATCTTCATATTTGTTTGCGTTTAAACTCTTTGTAAAGATATCGGCTGGTTGATCCTCTGTCTTGATATATTTCATTTTA